AAGCACTGAGGCAACTCTCCAGCTCCAAACACATTTTTTTTTTTAAAGAAAACTTAGAGAAAGTACCAGTGGAAAAAATATTATATTTGATCCCACTACTGTAAAATATCTGATATTTTGGCCATTTCCTTCTGTTCGGGTTTTTAAATCTATGTATGTATGTATGTATGTATGTGTGTATGTATGTATCTATGTATGTATGTATGTGTGTATGTATGTATGTATGTATGTATGTATCTATGTATGTATGTATGTATGTATCTATCTATCTATGTATCTATCTATATCTATCTATCTATGTATCTATGTATCTATCTATATCTATCTATCTATCTATCTATCTATCTATCTATGTATCTATCTATCTATGTATGTATCTATCTATCATCTATCTATCTATCTATCTATCTATCTATCTAATCTATCTATGTATCTATCTATCTATCATCTATGTATCTATCTATGTATCTATCTATCTATCTATCATCTATGTATCTATCTATCTATCTATGTATCCATCTATCTATCTATCTATCTATCTATCTATCTATCTATCTATCTATCTATCTATCTATCTTATCTATCTATGTATCTATGTATCTATGTATCTATCTATCTATCTATCATTTATGTATCTATCTATGTATCTATCTATCTGTGTTTGTCTGTGTGAGCAGAAGTGCATGTATGTGTGTCTGTGCATCCATGTGTATGGAGGCCAGCAGGATGCGTCTGTTGTGGGTCTTCTGTTAGGCTCCACCTATCCCTTTGAAACAGGCTCTCATTCCTGGACTTGGGGGTCACATTTTCTTGACTGGGCGGAAAGCCAGTGAGCCCCAGCAGTCTTCCTTGGAGCTGATGTGATGGGTGTGTGGGGGTGTCATGCTAGTTTGGTGGTGCTGGTAGCCAAACTCTGTCCTTATGATTGGGCAGTAAGTGCTCTTAACTTGAGCCACATCGATAGCTCTTATGTGGTAGTTTTTAATTAAAAATATTTTATTTGCACACACACATGTGTGTGCATGACTGTTTGCACGTGTGCCAGAAGAGAGTGTCAGATCCTCTGGGATGGAGTTGCAGGCAGGAGTGAACCACCTGGGAACTGAACTCAGGTCCTCTGGAAGGCAGCAAGTTTTCTTAACTTTTGAGCCTTCCATCTCTTAGCCCTTTTTGGAGCTTTCTTTCTGATATTGTACATAACATTATATTATCTTTTCCTGCAACATTTACCATTTTTGGAAGGCTACATCAAATATCTTGTAATACAAGTATATCATAATTTCACAAGATCTCATTATTATATGTCTAGCTTGTTTCTCATTTTACTATGAATATGCTCTTTGGACCTATTACTAGGATCTATTTGTAACTCTTTTAAAATAATAAAAAAAAATTAAACCATATCTAACAGTGGAAACCATGCTGATGAACTCCCATTTGCCTGCTACTATTTTGGTTAATTTTGTATTCTTCCATCTCACTGGATTATATGTAAATATAAGACACCGGTTTTTCTAATAAATATTTCAGTATGTCTCTCCAAGATATTGGCATCCAATCTCATGCATATATGCATGTGTGCCTCTCTCTCACAGGAGCACACTTTCACATGGTAGGCACACATACATAAAAAGGCAAAAAACTTGTTAGTCATTTCTGAACATTATTGAAACCCAGCAAACATCTCATAAATGTCTTTCCAACTGGTTTACTTGCGGGAGGAGTTAACCAGGGCCTCCATAGTGCATTTGCTTGCATTGTGTACCTGGGCAAATGCTTGAAGCTGAGATTGCTGGGCCAAAGCATGAAGCTATTTTAAAGAAGCTTGCCTTGTGCTGCAAAGTTGCCCAGCAGGCTATGTGACACCCAGCACCTGTGCTGGTCTCAGCAGTGGGAGATGCTCTGAGCTGGACGTTTGTCCTTACTGGTCCTCACAGACTTGTGAGCATCCCCATTCACCTCCACTCTCCTCATCTTGCTCAGACTCCCTCACTTGCTGTCACCTTCCGGCACGTGGACTCATGTCCCTCACTCACTAAACTCCACCACCCTTTCTCTTTGAGTGTCACCTGCCGCCAGCACTGTTACATCCTACTCTTCTTCTCCCTTCCTTTCTAGTTTTTGATTGTCAGTGTGAGCCGAAGCCCCTGCTGGGAAGGGTGTGTGACCTGGGGATGGGATGTGGCCCATCACTCATCTCCACATTAGGGTGGCAGGAGGGGCAGAAACAGCTTGGAGTGTGGGGAGTGGGGCTGACATACCAATAGATATTCTTTAAAAAGAGGTAAAGCTGAGTATGTGGAGGAGGTTTGGGGAGGCTGAGGCAGGAGGATCATATGTTGTAGGCCAGCCTGGTCTAAGTAGTGAGACCTCGTTAGGAAGGAAGAAAGAGGAAGGAGGGAGGGAGGGTAGACAGGAAGAAAGGAAAGAAGGAGAAATAAAAAGATGAGCATATGAGCTAATTAAGTTGAAGTGATAAAGCTGTAGAATTGCCAAGTGTTTGCTTCAAAGTAAATCCTCCTGAAATGAGAAGCCTGTTTTCTCACTTGACTGCATTTGTTGAAGAAAATAAATTATTTTTTGGTTACTCGGTTCTGTTTTGGAAAACTTTTCTGTGTGTTTGGGACAGCTTGTGATTGCGTATGTGATTATGCTTTTGAAGAGCAAGTTTTATAAAATCCAAGTACAGATCAAGCACTGCCAGTGAAAATTAGCATCCAAAGTGAGAAGAGTCACATATGTAAAATAGAATCCAGATCTGGAAGACTTAGCACAGAAAGAAGATTAAAAACATTTCAGTATTGGGGTGGGGAGGTGGCTCATTTGGCCACAAGCTTGCCTTGAAAACCTGAAAACCTAAGTTTGTTTCCTAGAGCTCATCATGTAAAAAACTGTTACTGTCTGTCTATCTATCTATCTATCTATCTATCTATCTATCTATCTATCTATCTATCTATCATCTCACTAAAATGGCTTCCATGCTGTGGCCTAGGTCATCCAACAATGGCCGTCTGCACACCGGAGAGTCTGAGAATCTGGTAGTTGCTCAGTTCATGTGTGCACATATACTCACACACATGCATGAATAAACAGGCCTCCAGCGTGGATGATTTAATTTGATGACTTTTCTAACATGTAGGGAGAACAGATACTGTAAGTTATGCCTCCTTTGTCCTCTATATACACAAAAATTAAAAACTACAACCTGGTTCCTCTCCCTCACTGTGAGCACATTGACTTAGTACTCTTTGCATTTCCTTTTCCTTCAGATCCGGCACAAACATAATTTGGGCCATCGAAGAGGGGCTTGGCCATTCCCACCAAAACAACAGTTCATATGAAAAAAAATAACAAAAGGCAGTTAATATTATTTTTACTACATCTACTTTTTTAAATTAAATTTTTATTTTTTACATTAATTACATTTTATTCGCTTTGTATCCCAGCTGTAGCCCCTTCTTCATTCCCTCCCAGTCCCACCCTGTCTCCCTCATCTCCTCCCATGCCCCTCTCTAAGTCCACTGATAGGGGAGGTCCTCCTCCCCTTCCATCTGACCCTAGCTTATCAGGTCTCATCAGGACTGGCAATGTCCTCCTCTGTGGCCTGGCAAGGCTGCTCCTCCCTCGGGGGGGGGGAGGTCAAAGAGCCAGCCACTGAGTTCATGTCAGAGAGAGTCCCTGTTCCCCCTACTAGGGAACCCACTTGGATACTGAGCTGCCATGGGCTACATTCAAGCAGGGGTTCTAGGTAATATCCATAGATAGTCCTTGGTTGGAGAATCAGTCTCAGAAAAGATCCCTGTGCTTAGATATATTTGGTCCTTGTGGACCTCCTGTCTTCTCTAGGTCTTACTAACTCCCCCTTCTTTCATATGATTCCCTGCACTCTGCCCAAAGTTTGGTTATGAGTCTCAGCTTCTGCTTTGATACACTGCTAGTACTACCTCTACTTCTGCCAGGCACTGCAGAACATCTAGAAAGAATAGACATTTCAAAAAGTGCTTAGCATTACCAACTATAGGGATAATACTGAGAAATAAAATAATTATACATACACAATACAATGGTTATAATATAAAACATCTTTTCCATGACCAATCTGGGTTAGAACCTCTCCCCCTTTGTTCTTCTCTTTCACCTCCCCCGACCTACAAACAAATGGGGGAAATTTTCACTCCCAGAGTCTTTTTAAAGGTGGCCAAACAATTTCATTAAAAAAAAAATACCTCCAGTATTCCAGAAGCAGAAAGACATACATGGCATATATTCAGTTATAAGTGGATATTAGACACATAATATAGGATAAACATACTGAAATCTGTACACCTAAGGAAGCTGGGCAAGAAGAAGGACTCTGGCTAAGATGCTCAATCATTCAGAAAGGCAAGTGGAATGGATATCGGAAGAGGGAGAAAACAGGTAACAGGACCGGAGCCTACCACAGAGGGCCTCTGAAAGACTCTACCCAGCAGGGTATCAAAGCAGATGCTGAGACTCATAGCTAAACTTTGGGCAGAATGCAGGGAATCTTATGAAAGAAGGAGGTGATGAAAGACCTGGAGTGGACAGGATTGGGAGGGGACAAGGGAAGGGGCTACAGCTGGGATACAAAGTGAATAAATTATAATTAATAAAAAAAACACCTCCAGAAGACATGTTTCTGATTTAAAAAAAAAAAAAAACAAAAATTGGGCATATAGCCAGTTTTTAGTTTTTTCTCAAAAAAAAAATGTTAGAGTGGCAAGCATGTGAGATGCTCCATTCCCATGAACATCTGTGTAACTTGGAGGAAGGTGGCCCTGGCAGCAGCACCTACACCCAACATGGCTGCATCTCTTCGTTGCTGGCGGGTTGCCTGACAAAGACCAGCAAGAATGGTGTGCGTGTCGTGGTATCTGTGACGAGAGAAACAGAGTCCCAGGTCCTTCCAGATGTGGGAGGTGTTTGCACCTGTAAGGTCTGTATCGTCAATTCATGTTTTGCCAAAGTAGACATCCTGTATGTGGGATCCACACCACTTAAAAACGCTTTTCAAGGAACTATCTACAAGGGAGATATCCGAGCAACTGAAAGTCAAGATTGAAATTTGCAAGCGTTTCAACCCAGGTGACATAGTTTTGGAAAAAGTTAGCTTTCTAGGTAATGCACAGCCCAATTACCTACTGAGCACAGCTGAAAACAAGTTAGTGGTAGGGATATCCCACGGTGGATCAGGTGTCCAGATGGCTCCCATCAGCTGGTGCAAGATGCAATGTCCTAAGACCCACAAAGAAGCATTCCAAAAAGTGGCCAGAGTACAGCCAGAGTGTCTTCAAAGCTAAGCACACTTTACCCTAAAGAGGGAGTACATGCATGAAAGGAACATCATGATAACCATGGTCTTTATTAAGGTACCTGCACTGAGCGAGCAACCACCATCTGAAAAAATCTGCCAGAAATATATTCTTGTTGCAATGAACACCCTAGGCCCATGCAGCTCAGACAGGAAGACTGTTAGTTTTTAAGTCTGAGGCCAGCCTGGGCTACGTAGTGAGACTATTCAACTAAAAAGACAAAAAAGAAAATGTACTCTATTTGAAACACCATTCTTTGGAAACAGTGATTTTTATTTTCTTGGCTGGTGAATCTCATTTAGAGGCATCCAGCAAAAAACCCATGTATTATTGGGGATAGCTTCTGCTTCCTTTATAAATATGAATTTTTCTATGACTGGAAAACCTTTTCCTTCTTTTTCCTCTTCTTCTTCTTTTTCTATGAAGAGGTCAAAGTACCTGTATTTTAAAATAACTTCTTGACGTGGTAAAAGAATTTTACCAAGGGTAGGGAGGAATGCATGGTGGGAGGAGGGAAGGGGTTTAACTGGAAGGGATCTGAGGGGTGGGTAGGAATATTGCCCAATTAAAATGCAGCTGGTTTGTTACTGAGCGTTATTCACGGGAAGAGAGTATCCTGACTCCTTTACAGAACACTGGGAGTGAAAATGAGGAGAACCAAGAGCTGAGAAGCAGAGGGCTAGTGAAGGCCTTCCCTCTGTGACTCAGGTTCATTTTGGTGTTATGCAAAAGCTGGTCCTCTGGCCTCCACTTGCCCTTCTCCCAGGCCAGCTTGTGTGCTGGATAGGGCAGGGGCTGCTGGGAGGTCCATAGGCTGTTGCTCCTCCCTGTGCTTTTCCTTTGGGAAATATTTCTCATATTTATAGTATGCTTCCAGGGAAAGCAGTAATTCATGTGTATATATATGTGTGTGAGCACATGAACACATGCATATGTGCGTGTATAAATATGATGCAGAGGTCAAACCCATGGAAGAGTTGCCTCCTCTTTCAAATCTTCCAGAGATATCACAGCTTTTGGGTTAACCCCACCAGCCCCAGCTTTTTTTTTCCAAGTTAATTAGCTTTATTGAAAGGAATTAATAGCCTTTTCATTAGTAAGCACATAAGCAAGTGATGTGTACCCCCTTTAGCATGAATGCCCATTTTCACTTGCTGTTTTAAGAGTTCATTAGGTGTTCTGAACACTGGACCCTACTTATATATGATTTGCATTCCGTAGATTGTCTTCATAGCCCGATGTTTGTAAGACTTTTTCTCTAATTAATCATTTCTCCTATAGATACTCAATATCCATTTCTTTTTTTTATTAATTACAATTTATTCACTTTGTATCCCCCCTGTAGCTCCCTCCCCCTCCCCTCCCGCTCTCCACCCATGCCCCTCCCCCAGTCCACTGATAGGGGAGGTTTTCCTCCCCTTCCTTCTGATTCTAGCCTATCAGGTCTCATCAGGAGTGGCTGCATTGTCTTCCTCTGTGTCTTGTAAGGCTGCTCCCCACTCAGGGGGAGGTGATCAAAGAGCAGGCCAATCAGTTCATGTCAGAGACAGTCCCAGCCCCAGCTTTTTAAGTGAGTGTTGAGTTTTGCAGTTAGCCTGCCAGTGACTCTCAGTGTCTATCTGACTTTCATTCCTCTCTGTATTCTGATTCCCAATCATATTTCCACCTGGAAAAACATTCTTTAAAAAAAGATTTTACATTTATTTCTAAATATGTGTGTTTATCTGTGTAGATGCATGTGAGTAGTACATTACCTGCAGAAGCCAGAAGAGAATGTCAGATCCCCTGGAACTAGGGCTAGAGATGGTTTCAAGCAGGCAACAGTGTGCTGGAAATTGAACCAAAATACACTGCAAGAGCTGCAAGTCTGCTTCACAGCTGAACCATCTCTCTAGCACCCTTGAATTTTTGATGTTTCTCTTTCTCCTTCCAGAGTGCTGGGATTATAGGTATGCAGCATCATGCCTAGTTTATGTGGTGCTGAGGATGGAATCCAGGCTTCAGGCATGCTGGGTAGGTACCTTTACACTGGGATACAGCCCAGCCCCAACAACAAGATTAAAAAAAATAATCAAAACCAGTTACCTTTCCTTTTAAAACCAAAAGGCTCCTTTTCACAAGGCAAACTCCCATTGGAAGGAAATAGCTCATGGCCCTGCCTTCTTCCTCCAACCCAGAGTGGAGCCCTTATTTAAGATGCAGTAGCTAGTCTCGGTCCTGAGGAGCAGCTGGGGAGGCTAAGGAAACCTGAATCAATCTTGATTTTATTGGCCAGGTCTCCAGTGATCTAATTATGGCAGGAAGATAGAACAAGTGCAAGATCGAAAGAAAAGGGAGGCACTGCAGTGTTTATTATCCTTGCTTCTGGGGTTTTCAGACCACCTAGTTAATACTGACTCCTAATTCTATGTCCAGTGCAGGGCCTTCTTAGCTGGCCCATGGGCTGCTTTGGCTGATCTGGGATCACGAAAGACCGAAGATGTACTGAGTCAGACTGCAGTCTTCATTTCTGTATCAAAAATGTCTCTAAAATCCAGCCTACAGACTGAAGTGGTGGGGAGGAAGAGAGTCTTAGCCTGTGGGATGTATTCAGGCTGCTAGCATGAAGCAGCTTCTGTGTTAGGAGGCCATGGACATTGGGGAAAGGCATCACCAGATATGGGGGTCTGCCCAGGATGGGCACCATCCAACAGGAAACAGTTGGGATTTTAAATGAGAGAAAAGAGAAGAAAAAAAGGTCATTTCCCTAACTGGGAAGAAATATATGTGTTTGTTGTGAATAACAACAACAAAAAAATAGATAGGAGATAATTTATGGTTTTGGAACTCTGTTCTGAAACCTGGCATAAACTAGCATGAATTATTTTAGCACTATGTATGTCCAGGTGGGTCTCATCCAATTTCTATGTCACAGGGACAGAGAAGGATGAAGAGGAGCTCAGACAGCTTGTGGTGAGCCTAAACAGAGGGCTTGGGAAAAACGAGTGACAGATTGATCCTGGGAAGGAACTATTGTGGCCTCATCTAGTCTACCTGCCTAATTCCTCTCCTGAGCACCTTTGCCTGGCTTGCTTGCATGCGTGTATGTCTGCATATTTATTACTTGAGACAGGGTCTCCATTTGTAGCCCAGGCTTGTCTGGAACCCACTATGTGGCCAGACGAAGCCTCAGACTGGTAGCCACTCTCCTGCTTCGGCCTCCTGGGTGCTAAGATGTGCCATTGGGCCCAGCTACATTACTTTTGTAATTATGTAATCTATAGGAGGTTGTGGATCTTGTTTGGCTCTAAATGGAGGAGGTGCTCACTTGGCATCTGAATATTTTTAACCTGGTGCATAATGTGAATGACAGGCCTACTTTCTTATGAAGCTTGCAGTCAGTGGGGGAAGACAGAGAATAAAGCAATGAGAAAAATGAAATATTAAAGATGCTCTTTCTGTCCTTTCTCCTAGACTGGGAGATCCTCAAAAGCAAGGACTACTGTTTCTGATTCATCTCTCTGCTTCATGCCCTGGCCTATAGAGGTAGTCAGTGAAAAATGACCTACAAGAGGTCCTTGTTGTGTGGTTGTTTCTTTCAGCCAAAAGAGGCTCAAGAAGGAAAAGACTTGAGATTGTCATTAATGTGTGAGTAATGAATGATGTTGCTAAGGACAAACACAACAGTGGCAGGTCTCCTTTGGTAAGAAATGTTGACACCAGCTATACCTCAGATAAGTGGTTAATATCTAGAATATACAAAGAGCAGCAAAAATTAAACACACACACACACACACACACACACATTCACAACCATACAACACTCTCCCAACCCCAAAATGCCAACTAATAAGTGGGCCAATGAGTCAAACATAGTTCTTGAAAGGAGAAACACAAATGGCCATAAAGTGCCCAACATCTTCAGCTATCAGAAAAATACAAAGTAAAACTGCTCTGAGATTTTATATTACCCTTGTCGGAATAGCTATTATTAAGAAAATAAAGGATAGGGCTGGAGAGAAGACTCAGCAGTTAAAAGGACTTTTTGCTCTGAGCTTGTGCCCCAGCACCCATGTCAGATGGCTCACAGGTGCCTTTAGCTCCAGCTCTTGGGGACCTCTCACCATCTTCTGGTCTCCACATGTACCTGTGCTCATGTGTACAAACCACACCTCCACATCCAAATAATTAAAACAGCAAATAAATAAATAAAAATGACAAATAGTGGTGAGTATGTGGGGAAAGAGAGACCTATATACTGAGGGTGAGAGTGAAACTATGGTAAACCACTTTGTAAAACAGTGTAGGTGCACGTGGGTGCATTACCTGCAGAGGCCAGAAGAGGGTGTCAGATCCCCTGGAACTAGGGCTAGAGATGGTTTCAAGCAGGCAACAGTGTGTTGGAAATTGAACCGAAATACGCTGTAAGAGCTGCAAGTGTACTTCATAGCTGAACCATCTCTCTAGCCCACCCTTGAACTTTGGAGGCATTTCGAAAGAATGAAACTCTAAATACCATGACTCAGCATGTGCCCAAAGGATGCCATAGCCAACCACAGAGGTACTTGCACATCTGTGTTCATTTGTAATAGTGAGGAAATGGAGTTAGCACAGATGTTCATCGGCAGGTGAATGGATAATGAAAATAAAGATTCAGTGGTAAAGAAAAAAATTGAAATTATGGAAATTTTAGGAAAACAGATGAAATTAGGGATGTAGAAGATAACAGAACAAAATGGAAAGGGGAATACTGGGGAGGTTGGCTAAAGGGTATATTGGGAAAAACAGAGGTAGGGAAAAGAGGGGAGAGTAGCAGTGGGGGTGAGGAAATCAGCCAAAATGAAATATGCATATCTTAGTTACTTTTCTGTTGTGATAAAATGTTCTGAGGGAAGAGTTTCTATTCATTCATTCATTCATTCATTCATTCATTCATTCATTCATTCATTCATGTATTTAATAATAATAATAATAATAATAATAATAATTTACAACTTATTGACTTTGGA